CTCTAGCCCGGGCAACACAGTGAGACTCTGTCTCAAAAAAAAAAAAAAAAAAAAATCCTCTTGGAAAACAAATTGGAGGATATATTAAAGGCTATAAAAATGTTGAAGCTTTTTGACTTGGTAATCTCACAGAAATTTATTCTACAGAAGTAATCCAAAAGAAAGGATAAACTCTGCATTTATTAATACTTTAGTATTATATGTGATGGAAAAAAAAGGGAATGTTAGTGCCCATAGTGGAAATAAATTATGATGGCATTTTCTCAAGAGGATATATGTTAAAAATTAAAATTATGAAGGCCATGTTGTTCCATGGAGGAAATACTCGTAATAAGAGAGAGAAAAAGAATATAAAATGCTTTTTAATGATGATTATGACATGAAAAATGTATCTGTATTTGGACAGGGAGAGAAGAGACATAGAAAAATGAAAATGTGTGGTATTGAGAGTGTGAAAGATTTTTCTGTTGTTCAAATTTCCATTACTGTTTATGCAATAAATATTTAAATTGAAAACAGAAAATAATTACAAATAAGTATGAATAGAGATCCAGATTGGTGAAGATAAGATTAATGAAAATATTTTGTTGGTTAAAACTGATTATATCACAAATGGAGATGTATAATCTTTATATATTCAGCCATCTTAAGACTAAATCATGCTCATGCCTGTAATCCTGGCACTCTGGGAGGCCGAGGCAGGAGGATTGCTTGAGCTCAGGAGTTCGAGGCCAGCCTGAGCAAGAGTGAGACCCTGTCTCTACTAAAAAACAGAAAGAAATTTGGCTGGGCAACTAAAAATATATAAAAAAAAATTAGCCGGGTGTAGTGGCGCACGCCTGTAGTCCCAGCTATTCTGGAAGCTGAGGCAGCAGGATTGCTTGAGCCCAGGAGTTTGAGGTTGCTGTGAGCTAAGCTGATGCCATGGCACTCTAGCCCCGGCAACAGAGCAAGACTCTGTCTCAAAAAAAAAAAAAAAAAAGACTAAATCAGAACTATTCAGGAATAGGTGGCAGATTATGTTTCTCATTAGCTACACTTGGTTTATAAGGACAGTTATC